AGTTAGGCGCAATGGCCCATCCGTGGCAGGGGAGAAGATCACATATACTCGTGAAACTTTCCACAGAAACTTGATGAGGCCCACCCTGGATCTCAGCGTACTTCTGGCCCTCATGGGGATACGTAGTGCTGCCACAACTTGCTTTGATACATGGGGCCTCCCCTGCCACTGCCCAGCCTCCCTTCCCCACAGGAGGCCAGTGGGGCGCAAACGCCCATCCGTGACAGGGGAAACCCTCACTTGATCTCAAGATACTGGTATCAAGAAAATGATAGAACCTTCCATTCACTCCGCATAACTTCGACAAGTCGCGGAGGTACGTGGTGCTGCTGCAACTCGTGCTGGCAGTCTGGGGCCCACCAAGGGCCTCGGTAAGCCCCCTTGGGATTTGTCACTCGGCAGCAGCAGCAGGTCGGCGTAGCGCTGCTGCTGGTCGCCTGCGCGCCCAGCCTCTGGCATGTGTCGCCTCCCGCTTCATGGCCGCCTTCTTCCGCTCTGCAATCTTGCGCCTGTAGGCCGCTAGAGTACGCTGCCCAGGCCTGTTGAAGTAGTCCTGCTGCCACTTCTTCAAGTACTCTTTGTTCTCTGGCTTCGCGGACCACTTCCGATGATTGGCCAACGTCTTCTCGTATCGTTTCGCCCAAACATCTTTGCCATGAAGTCGTTCCTTCACTTCATTTGCCTTCATGGTACGGTCCAGCCGCTTTGTACACGGTTCAAGCTTCAACTTGGCAATCGTTCTTTGTATTCCACATCTCGTGCACGAATAACAAGTATCAGTTTGCCTCTTCGTCTGTCTGGTGGTCGCACTCGCTTCCAGTACGTGGCAGACGTTTGGCTTGAAGTCAGGGTCGAGCTTGTCATACCATTCACAGTAGCGTAACCAAGCTCTCTGCCGTACTGCACGGTTTCGCCCAGGTATAGCAAATTGTCGGTTTGCTTCTCCTTGAGCTTCCTTCGTCTTCCCAGGGGGTGTGATCCCGACGCAGTAACGCCAGTGAACCCGTGCCTCCTGAGCTCTTTCACAAGCTTGCTCTCGAGTTGGGAGCCAACCACAACTTGGGCACTTCAAATGCGCTGACCGTGAGACATCCACCGGCGCGCATGGCTCCAAGTCTGCAGCTTCATCAGGAACAGCTTCAGCAGGGCCTGCCGCTGGTGCGCTTGCTCTGGACTTCCGTCGTGACTTGGGCGTGACACCTAATAAGGACCTCGCCCTCTTGACCTCAGACGTCGTAGATGCCGCCGATATTCCAAAGAAACTCCTCGCGGCATCCTCGTCGAAATCGTCGTCCTTGTGGCTGCTGGATGCTGCCGCGCTTTTGCCTCCTCCCGTGAAGGCATCTGGGCATGGTAGGGCCGCTTCACACCATTGCTGGGCAACTTCTCTGGTGAGCGATGCTTTAGGGCGCAGCAATTGGTAGTGCTGATCTTTCAACATGACCCATACTACTCTGCCGTACTTCTTGGGGCTCGTGTGAAGGGTCCACCTGCCCCCATTGGTATCTGGATTGAATTTCCATATACGAATACCAACTCTTGCGGCGATAGAGGTACACCTGATTGTAAGAGAATCAGCCATTTTCCCACACGTTCCAATTCTTTGAATATCTGCGCCCGTAGCTCCGAACTTCTGCTTGTTCTTCTTCACCTCCCCCGCCACCAGGAGACGCAAAGATTGCTGGACACGTCCACCAGGGACCAGCTCGTTGGCGGGTACAGGCTTGTGTCCAGGCTTGAGCTCATGAAGACCAAGGCCCACGGCTATGTATGCACAATCACCTTGCCCTCCATTGTCTTGTATATCGCAGTGCTCCTTCCACGGTGGGTCTGGAGCTGCTGCTCTCGCTTGTTTGGCCGCTCGAGCTCCCGCAGGGGCTGCTTCGGCTGGTCGACGATGTTGATGGTCACCTTCAGTACCCTCAGCAGCAGCAGCAGGTGGCGCTGGAGGCGGGTCTGGAGGTGCTTCATCATCTGGCTTTTCTTCATCCTGCGTGGTGAAGGTGACCTTGGGCGGTGCTACCCCCCACACACTCTGAGCTTTGACTCCTTGCGGTCGTTCACGATCCTTCCGCTGCGGTGGCTTCGCTGGTGTGACGATGACCCCACTGCTGAAGTTGTACGCCTTGTCATTCTGCGAGCACGCTGCAGCAAGGTCTCCACGAAAAAACCATGTGCGTCGTCCCGTACGTGTCGGTGACGTTACATTCGTCCATCCTCTCTGGATTGCCCAGGTTGAAAGATCCTCGGGCGCTGCCCACTCCGCTGGTGCACGCTGAACCGCCCACCTAGGGAGGAGGTCCGATCCAACTTGCTTCTCACTGAGCACCCCAAGGGGCGCATCATCACTTGGGCGGCACAAAAGGCGACCTGCAACCGTGGCCGCTGTTGCAACCACTCTGTTCCAGTACTCGTCGACGGACTCGTCCTGCCTCTGCTTGAACCACCGCGGCATGATCTTGGACTGCTGGTAGTTGCAGAAAACCCCTTTCGGGAGCTTCTCCTCCAGGAACTTTGGTATGGCATCGGTCTTGATGATCAGCAGCATTGTGATCTCACTTTCATAATTGAGAGCCCCCTTTGTGCGAACAGTATGCCTGCACAACTCTGCATTGAATTCAATAGACGGGAGGCTGGCTGGCTTCTGCGACGCTCGTCCGAAAACATCATCATCAGCAAAATTCTTGGCACACGTCAGTCTCATCACCGTAGTGGGTGACCTCGGGGCCTGGTATTCATCATCATCTTTGACTCCTTGCGGTAATCCTTGGCGCCTAGGCGCGCCGTCTCCGTAGTAGTAGATCTGGCACTTGAGAGGTGCTGAACCTTTCTCCCCAGATGTCAAAACTTCGTCTGCAATAGCCCCCTGGATATTCTCAGACATTGAAAAGACTATGAATGTGGCTGCTGATCCGCAAGATGCAGTAAGCCAATCATATGCTGCATGATATTCCACCATCGTATTGCATACAATGATAGGAGGCTTCCCATTCTCATAGACTCGCTCCTTCAAGGACTGTGCCACCCAGATCGGCACGTCGTTCCCCCAGTCGCTCGTCAGAATTCTAGGTATTGGCCTCGGTCCCTGCTTGGGCGTGGGACTCGTGGACGTCGTTGAGGAAGAAGCGGCGACATTCTCAGCAGTAGAATCATCTTTGCTTTTCCCACGTTTAGTAGTCTCGACCCTCGGCAACATCACGCGGAGACGTTGCTGCACTTGATACTCATTCAAAGTGTAGTTCCCCTTGTCATACTTATCAAGAAGCTGGCGTATCTTCTGAAGTGTTGGCGGCTCGAGCTTGCGGCCCGCCTTCTTAGTATTTGGCGATGTCCCAGGCAGCACTGTCCCGCTCAGTGCACTCATCGCAACCGTAATGTTTTTGATCTGCTCAGCTAGGTCATCGATGCGCTTCCCCCGTCCACGTCGAGCCCGTAGAGCGCCTTGCCCTGCACGGCCACCTGGGTGACCTTCACCACCGCCACCCAGCAGTGGATCCGCAGCACGTCCTGGTACTGGAAGTTGAGAATCATGAACTTCAGCCCCGAAGATCACGACCTCATCAAGAGAGATTTGATGCCCTGCCGACGGGGCGATGTCGCTGAACTTGGCCTCGGCACGGGGTGCCGTCCCGCCATCACCACTTGGAGGTGTCCAGCATCGTATGGCACAGTCATTGAGTCAAAAGCCATCCAATCCTGACGCCCACGACAGTCATAAACCATCCAGGCCTATCCGGATCTTCCGCTTCCAGTGCCTCGCGTCGGGGCTTGGGAACATCTCGGCCTCTACGAGTCCTCTTGGAACCGTGTGGGAACCCATCGATCGAAAAACAGGGCGGCGCCATATGAGGGAAACCACGCCGACCACTTTTTGGGACACCCTCATTATGGTCGGCGATACTTTTCCCGACAAGTGGTCGCCTCGCCCTGCCTCCAGTCTTTCCGAAGCTTCCGCGTTTAATGCCTCGCCCTCACGCAGCCCAAAGGGGCTTCCGAGCGGCCGAAGAGTGCATCCAAGAACACCGAGTGCACCCCCGACACCTCCAGAAACCCGAAGAGAATTATTAATCGCTTTTTGAGAAGCCATCTGGAGTCTTCAGACGCTCCAGATAACCAGACGACGACGACAGCGACGACGACGACGTCGACCAAGACGACGTCGAAGAAGACGACTCCCACGACAGTCATGAACCATGCAAGCCTGACGCTAACGACAGTCTTAAATCATGCAAGCCTTCCCTGGTCCTCCGCTTTTAGTGCCCCGCGTAGCACCCTAGGGTCATCCCAGCAGTCTGCAGAGACTTCAGACAACCCGACGACGACAGCAACGACGACGACGACTTCGACAAAGACGACGTCGAAGAAGACGACTCCCACGACAGTCATGAACCATGCATGACAGCCAACCTCCCCCACACCTCCCTTTTCCCCCTCCACCACGCCTCCTTTGCCCAAACTCCCGCTAGCTGCTGCGCCAGCAACGCCGCCATCGCATCCGCAGACCCGACAGCGCGAGCCCCAGCCTTGCAAAACGCACATCACTTCCCGTTCTTCTCTGGTCAGATGTTTGTAAATCCGCGGCCCCAGAGCTCCCGACCCCCTCCCCAGGGGTAGTTCTCCGTGCGGATCCATGCTTGACTGTGACCAGTGACCAGAGGCTCGAGAAAACGGGCCTCTGGAGGCCAAACTCGAGGAGAAACGCTCAGATTGAAACAGCACGTGCTCTGGATGGGGCAGAAGTGCCCCCCCCTGGATCCGCTGGGGGGGGTCGGGCACGTGCTGTCGGAATGGGTGGAGAGGGGGGGAGGAGGAGGATGAGGAGGGGGAGGAGGATGGAGGGGGGCGGGATGGGGCAAGCTCCGTCGGCAGGTGGATCTCCACCCGCGGAGAAGTGCCCCCATCCGGAGTCTCGCCAGACGTCTGCGTGGCCCCAGACATCAAACGGGGAAGCCTCAGCTCGGGATCCCGCCCGCAGGGCCGCGCCTTTTGGGCCGCCCGAGGTGCGCCCGGCGGCCTCCACTTCAGCGCCGCGGAGGCGCCCCGCTGGGAGCCGCTCTGGCGGGAGTTCGGCAGGGTCCGTCTGAAGGTGGTCCACGGCCGCACCCGCGAGGGGATCCCGTGCCCGAAGGGCGGAAGGCGCGGCACGAGCACCCTCCTCCTCCTCCTCCGCCTCCTTCTCCTCCTCCTCCGCCTCCTCCTCCTCCGCCTCTGCCTCCTCCCTCTCCTCCTCCTCCTCCTCCTCCTCCTCCCCTTCTACAAGAGGAACATTCAAAATTAATCCAGAAATAATGCTTGTGGGGACGATGTGTCGACTCTGTCTGGCTATTTCGGGGTATCGTTTGACTGTTTTCAATTTGTCCTCAAATCCGCCTGTAGGAGGACATGCCCGACCTAACACGAGCATGAGTTTTGGGAGGTCCGCGCGGACCTCCAGAGGTGTATGCCTTCGTGCCGCCTGTTTCTGTTCTTCCAGGTACCTGAACGTCCTCGTGCGCAATCTGCGGAGGGCGGGGTACCCTGTGGGAGGCATTTTGGGGGAGGACGACCACACTGCGGCCGCCACCCCGCCCGCCAACTGTAAGCGGATGATTGCGCTGTGAGGGCGGGTTGCTTCTCTTCTTCCCCCTCCTCCTCCTCCTCCTCCTCCTCCTCCTCCTCCTCCTCCTCCCCTCCTCCTCCTTACCTCCTCATCCTCTTCCTCCTCATCCTCTTCCTCCTCCTCCTCCCCCTCCTCCTCCTCCTCCTCCTCCTCCTCCTCCTCCTCATAGCCCTCTCCTCTTCCTCATCATCCTCATCCTCTTTTTCTTCTCATCCTCGTCTTCGTCCGCATGTTCCACCTCCGAAGGCCGAGTCTGGACTTGGTAGGCAGCATCGCCACGGTCTCCTCAGGGGGGCTCAGATAACATCAAGGTGTGTGAAAAGGCAAACGACGCTTTGTCCCCCCGTTCGTGAAAATGCCGCCGTGCAGGGGTCCTGCGATGCCGCTCGCCAGGGCATGGGCAGCAGGAGGCTAAGCAGCATCAGCGTTCGCATAACAGTCAAGACGCTGAAATAGTTGGAGGAGCAGGAGGAGAAGGAGGAGAAGGAGGAGGAGGAGGAGCTCAGGAGGTTCTCTGATTGTCGGGCCGTTTCCTCGGTCCTAGGTCGGGAAACCTCTTCGTGGCCAGGACTCTCCGTGGCCAGGAAAGAAGCTGTTTCGTTTTTGTCCCCCCCAGTCTTCCCTATGGCAGCACGATGATTGCACACTGGGGATTCGAAGTGGGTCGTCCGGCCGCGTCACCAGAGGAGGAGACATCGACCCCCCGATTGAGCGACGCAGAAAGATTAGAGAATGGATGGATCCGGTTTGTGTTGGGATTCGCTGTTCTGCTATGTATCGGGCAAGGTGGCCAGACGGACAGCGACGACGACGGCGAGGGCGACGAGGGCGAGCCAGTTTCAAACTGGGTCGTCTGCGGGGACATTGGCGCGTAAGCTGCCCGCGTAAGGTCGCGCGTGGCCGCCCCCGTTTCAAGTGTGGCTTGCCGCGCTGCCAGCCCGCGTGAGCTGCGGCGTACAGCCGCTGTGCCCATCTGGGTCGTAAGACCCTTTCTCTTGTCGTTGCTCAGCTGCACACTGCGCAGGTTCGCGCCACGTCGGCGCGGCGGGGGCCCTGGCGGGAGCTCTCGAGGTTCTGGGCCACTGGCGGCTTGGGCCAGGCCGATATTGAACGACTTCTGCTGCCAGATAGCCGAGGTCGGTCAAGATTGGACTGGCTTCATGGGGAACTAGGCACAGACACAAAAAAACCGTCGACTCCCAGGCCATGTGGGGAAGTATAGGAACTGGAGATTACTCCAAAAATCAAATAAATGTGAACAATGAGGAGGGAGCATGATATTTGTGTATGTATATATATATATATATATGTATATATATACAAGACTGCAGTGGCGCTTCGCGCCATGCACCTTGGTCCTCGAAGTTTGGTATGCAGGCGGAATGGCAGGCAGGTGAAGACGATAATTTAGCGATAAGCCGACAAATTAGCGATAACCCTTTGTTGGCTTTTCCGGCATCACCGTCATAATAATGTTTGTCGTTATCTTTCCCCCATGCTTCTTTTCCTCATTCTCGCCATACCCTGCGCATTATCCTCTATCCTCCCCAGCTCATTTTGCGGAGGCTCCTCCTTGGAGAGCCTTTGGGGGCCTCATAAAAGTTGTTCAGGCTTTCTTCAGGCCTTCAGGAGGCCTCCTGGGCGTGTTCTGGGGGCCTCTGGTGGCTTCTTCGGGCCACCCTGCCTCCAACCGCGGTCCTCCTGAACGATCGGGTCACGTTTTGGAATGCTTCGGAGGGTGTCTTGGGGCCATCTGGGGCCGCCATGGGGCTCTCTCAGGGCCATCTTGGAACCCTGTTGTGCCGTTTTGGGGCTCTCTTGGACTGTCTGGAAGCGTTTTCAGATGGTTGCGGGGCGATTTGGGAGCCTACTAGGCAGCTTCGGGCGCCCAGAAGACCGCCGTCTTGGAGCGTCGGGAAGCCGAAAAGAGGAGAACCATTATTCACCAAAAACCATTAGAACACCAATGATTTTTGCCTTTGGGAGCCTTCTTGGGAGTGCTCTTGGAGGCATCTTGGGACGTTTTGGAGCAATCTTTCGGGGTATGACGGCTTCTTGGGGGTTGTCGTGGACCGTATTGGGCTCTCTGCGGTCGTTTCGGAATCGCGCTGGAACCTGGAACCCGTCTGGGGCCATCTTCGGGCTCTCGTGAGGTTCTCCCGGGTCGTCTGAGGGGTTGCCCGGAGGCCCGGGGAGGGCCAAATTCGTTTGTGTGTGTGTGTATGTGTGTATGTGTGTGTGTGTGTGTGTTTTTCCGGCGTCCCCGGCCTTATAAAAGTAGCATGTTTTGGAAGATCCCCATGATATGTAATCGCATATAGCAAAATCCCATGTGCTTATCTCCCATAGGAGAGGTATGGAGATTCTCATATATAAGAGTCCCATTACCCAATCATACAGTATGATATCAATCGGAGACTAATCGGGCCTGTCTTGCGCCTTGCTGTGGCCATCCTGGGGTCGTCTGGACGCCCCCCGAGTCAAGCGATAGTGTACAAGCGAGAAGGCCGAAAACATGGATTTTTTACTGCGTTTTTGTTTTTGTTATCTGCTTCTCCTATTATCCGGGCCCTGTTGCGCTAGCCTTGGGCCTCTTTGGGGCTCGTCAGGGGACTCATCTGGAGCCGTCTTGGAGGCATCTGGACGTCTCAAGAGCCAATCGGAAGCGACAAGGCGAGAAGACCAAAAACCTTGCTTGTCCCATGGTGTTCCTACATTTGTCCATCTCTGCGCCCTCCTCTCCGGGCCCTATGGGGCCGGGGAGCGCCCCCCACCCCCCCCCACCCCCAATCTCCCCCAAAAGACTTTCGAATCGAATCCTCGGACCTGTCTTGCGCCTCCCTGTGGCCGTCCTGGGGTCGTCTGAACGCCCCCCGAGTCAACTGGAAGTGAAAAAGTGGGAAGGCCGAAAACATTGTTTTCCTTTTGCGTTTTCTTTGCTTTTCCCACTCTCCGGGCCCTGTTGCGCCAGCCTTGGACCTCTTTGGGGCTCGTCAGGGGACTAAGTTGGAGACGTCTTAGAGCTGAAGATGAAGAGGAGAAAGAGGGGGGAAGAAAATACGGAGGAAGAGCAAGAGGAGGAGGAGGAGGATGCCTTGCTTCATGCTACCCCAACCAGTCGCCTGAGCCTTACTCGCGCCTCTGGGCACAGAAACGCCCTGAGCTGGCCAGAGCCGGCGTTGTCAAGTCGCTCCCGCTTAGGAGATCCTGACCCACTCCGACTTGGCGGTGGCCGGCCCCACGTCCACGTGCGCGCACGCCGCCTGCATTCCAACTCACAAGGAACAAGGTGCATGGCGCGAAGCGCCAATGCAGTCTTGTATATATACATCCCCAGGACGAAAGTTTTTTCCTCTTGGGTTCGGAACGACGGTGTGAAGTCTTGAACAGACCCGTGTGAGATAACCGCCGTCGGATCCCATGAAGTTCGCGCGGATCCAAATGTGGCTTTGGTGTTATTTCGGTGGATCCGATTTCCGTCCGTACGGATCCGATTTCGGATTAGCTGGATCCGTGTCCGGTCTTATTTTTTACGGCGGATCCGATTTCTACCCTGTTTTAAATTTATATTGTTAAATGAAACCAGGGGACCGGAAGAACTCGGATCCGCGGACCCCGCAAACCGCCCGTGTTAAGATTCTATGGGGGAAGGGGGTTCGGTAATCAAGTTTCCACGATGGGCCCTGCGTCGTCTCGCGCACTCCCATCAACTCCCCGCGCGAGCGGGCCCCATTCAACATGAATACGTACATCCCTCCCCCCCCGGTTGATGCAAACAGCTCGTCCGGTCGCCGTCCGTTCGGCGGCGCCGACGTTGTCTCGCGAACTCCTCATGGCCATTTTCACCTCAAGAGGAAAATCTTTCGTCCTGCGTAAGTGCGTTTCGGCCTTGCGTTTCCTCACCCAACGGACTGCCTGTGAGATGTGGTGTGTCGGCTATGTGGTAACCAAGAAGTCCGAAGGCCAAAACGCCAAGTGCGTTTCGGGCCTGCGTCTCCTCACCCAACGGACTGCCTGTGAGATGTGGTGTGTCGGCTATGTTGTTACCAACAACGGACTGCCTGTGAGATGTGGTGTGTCGGCGAGATGGTAACCAACGGGTCCGAAGGCCAAAACGCTAGTGCGTTTCGGCCTTGCGTTTCCTCACCCAACGGACTGCCTGTGAGATGTGGGGTGTCGGTTGTGTGGTAACCAACAACGGACTGCCTGTGAGATGTGGTGTGTCGGCTACGTGGTAACCAACGAGTCCGAAGGCCAAAACGCCAAGTGCGTTTCGGCCTTGCGTTTCCTCACCCAACGGACTGCCTGTGAGATGTGGGGTGTCGGCTGTGTGGTAACCAACAACGGACTGCCTGTGAGATGTGGTGTGTCGGCTATGTGGTAACCAAGAAGTCCGAAGGCCAAAACGCCAAGTGCGTTTCGGCCCTGCGTCTCCTCACCCAACGGACTGCCTGTGAGATGTGGTGTGTCGGCTATGTTGTTACCAACAACGGACTGCCTGTGAGATGTGGTGTGTCGGCGAGATGGTAACCAACGAGTCCGAAGGCCAAAACGCTCAGTGCGTTTCGGCCTTGCGTTTCCTCACCCAACGGACTGCCTGTGAGATGTGGTAACCAACAACGGACTGCCTGTGAGATGTGGTGTGTCGGTTATGTGGTAACCAACGAGTCCGAAGGCCAAAACGCCAAGTGCGTTTCGGCCGTGCGTTTCCTCACCCAACGGACTGCCTGTGAGATGTGGGGTGTCGGCTGTGTGGTAACCAACAACGGACTGCCTGTGAGATGTGGTGTGTCGGCTATGTGGTAACCAAGAAGTCCGAAGGCCAAAACGCCAAGTGCGTTTCGGGCCTGCGTCTCCTCACCCAACGGACTGCCTGTGAGATGTGGTGTGTCGGCTATGTTGTTACCAACAACGGACTGCCTGTGAGATGTGGTGTGTCGGCGAGATGGTAACCAACGAGTCCGAAGGCCAAAACGCTCAGTGCGTTTCGGCCTTGCGTTT